CGGCATTCTTGTCGTCGGGGTGAATGATGTCGCTCAGCGCCTGCAGCGCCAGGTTGATGCCGCCACTGAGGAGAGATTGTTTGGGCAAGACCGCCACGTGAACAAGGTCACAGCCCGTGTTGCTGGCCGGCGACTCTGCCACATCGTTGTTGACGTCGTCATCGTCGACGTGCGCATTCATTGCAGCGACGTCAGCATCGTCATTGCAGATGGCGTCGTTCTCGATGGCGGCAGCCTCCTCGTCCAGGCGTCGGCGCATTTCGGAGGAATTGTCGATGGTAATGCCGTCGAATCGCGGATGCTTGACCCCGGTCCAGAACTCGAGCCACTGGTACGCTCCGGTGACGTCGATGTTGTACATGCCGCGGAAACGAGCCTGCGCGTTCCGCCGGGCATCGCGCAGCCTGAGAAAGGTCACCTGTGGGCGTTACACCGGGGAAACCCGGGGCAGCACGTTGGCCACCTCGACAGGACCGTCTTGCATGAAACAAATGGCGTTCCCCGTTGAGTGGCTGGCCCTTATCAAGATGTCAATATTGAAGGCTCGGGCGGGTAAAATCCCGTTGAGCGTCGTGCTGTTCACTTTGGGCAGCGACCCCCGCCGATCATAGTCGTGCCCGTTGTAGAGGCTGAAGTCGTGATCGGCCGGATCCTTCGCACAGGTCAAGCACAGGTCGACGTTATTGATGTCGGGCACGAGATCCGGATTGAGATGGTACCAGATGTCGTTCACGCGCAGCACGGAGACGTGCCGTTCAACGAGATGCTCCGGCAGGGTACACTGCTCGGTGACTTGCTCATTGGTGAGGCGGAACACAACGGGAAGCTGGTCGACGGGGCCGGCGTCGACGATGGTCTTATTGGCCTCAAAGAGAAACTCATTGCACGACGCGCACGCCACGATGCGCCCCGTGCCGGGGTCGCGAGCAGCCACACTGCGCTGACAGTGCACAGCGTCATCATGGCCTACCGTGCCGCCAATTGCTCGTGCGCGCTCCAGTCGGGCAGCAAGCTCTTCGGGCGTCTGGGGCGCGGCACGTCGGGCAGCCAACGAGACGTGCGCGCGCTCCAGTCAGGCAGCACGCTCTTCGAGCGTCTGGGGCACGGCACGTCGGGCAGCCAACGAGACGCGCGCGCGCTCCAGACGGGCAGCACGCTCTTTGGGCATCTCGTCCTTTATTGTGCGCCTGCCGCCATACTGTGGCCAGACGTCGCCGATGGTTGCGAACATCCCCACTTTCTCCACACCGCCGATGGTTGCACTGAACGTCGGTGATCGCGCCAGAAAACTTTTGCAGTCAAGCAAACTGCAATATGCCAAGATAGTCACTGAACTGCGCAGAGTGCACGCCAGACAAATATGCACGACAGACAGCCAAATAATCCCTGGTGGGCAGTGTGGAACCTGTTGTTCCTCCCTGTATAATATTTAAATACTGTCAATAATAGCTGTATAATAATCAAATACTGTCAATTATCCTTTTTCACACTCACGATGTATGTATCATGTCAGAATAATTTATAAATAAGAAATGCCAAACCTATTTTCTTCAAATTAATAAATGGCAACCTCGTGTCTTACCCACAAATGTAGCAACTACCCAAAGCGTTGAGTAGGCACGTAAAATAAATTCATCAACTGAAATTTATTATGCTCCTGACAAATAAACAATGCACGTGAGATTAGATTATTTACAATGCATGTACATTACATGCCAATGTTCATCATCATCATCAGCCATGCTCAATCGACTGCTGGGAGAAAAGATTCCCCAATATTTTCCCCGATATTGTCACCATTCCTCATGATCCTGCGATCCACCCTGCTCATCGCATGAGATGATCTCATTGCTTCATCTCTGTGGTGGTTATTTTCTCACACGTGTTTTCTCCATCGGTTGACATTCCATCCCAAGTTCTGTCCACTTGCTATTATCCCTTTTAGCCACGACGTGTCTAGGCCAAGCCTAATTAAAACTCTACTTGCATTTTTGCAATGTTGCATTGAGGATAAAGTAAAGTAACCAAAAACATAACTGTATGAATTAAAATAGAGATGGTAAAATTTAAATAAAAAAAATGAAATAATGACTGTAAATCAATCACAATTAATTGAAAAACTGGAAAGTGTGCTGGGTGTGGGGGGGGGGGGACTCCAGTTGAATCGTAAACATGGCCACAGGCAGCCATTGTCACTATGCACACATGCCCAGTTAGGGATGTTCATTGAATTTTTAAGGGTTTTACGATAATTGCATGCACAAAAGCCTATTAAAAAAAACCATTTCCAATCTTCACCACACCCACAATGACCGGAGTGAAGTATGGTCAAAACAAGCTCAATGGTTAGGCCTTCATCTAGCAGTGGCTTGACCAAGTGGTGTACGTTTATTATATTTTTAATATTGTATCTATGATGATCAGAACAATGACATTGCAACATGCGTCTGTAAAAATGCGTCCCATGCGCCAAGCAGTTTGATCAAGCACTCAAAAAGTAGAAGATTCTAGATTCCATGACTTAGGAATCAATACAATATTCCATAAGCAAACGGTACAAATCGATAATAAAAGTGCAGGAGATACAAAACACTGAGTACGCTTCACCAGTACTCTAACTTACAATACGATATTATATGTGCATAGGCAGCTTACTCTGCGTCAAGAGATACGTGAGAAAAGCTGATCAATATACTCATGGTGCTTTTAGTGATAAAGCAAATGTATGTGGAGTCACGTGCCGCCTTGAAGACTCTTAATAGAAGACTCTTAATATTTACGTTGAAGCCTATTCGCCATTGTTTGAAGCAGCATCGGTGAGGGAGGGAGAGAGCACAGAGGTGGTGGGGTGGGAAAGGACTGGCACCAAGATGCCCTCGAGTGGCATGGGAGAGTTAACGCAGCGAATAATATGCACGACAGACAGACAGACAAATAATCCCTGGTGGGCAGTGTGGAACCTGTTGTTCCTACGTGTATAAAAAATAACTTGACTTTAGGTAGCCAGGCAGCCAGCCCCCTTAACAATCGCCCCCCCCTCCCTTAGGCTCCTCCCCTGACCCCCCTTCCCTTAGGCCCCTCCCCTGACCACCCCCCATATCCTTAGGCCCCTCCCCTGACCCCCCTTCCCTTAGGCCCCTCCCATGACCACCCACAATATCCTTAGGCCCCTCCCCTGACCCCTCCCTCGGGCCCCTCCGCTGACCCCCCCCTCAGGCCCCTCTCCTGACTCCCCCCTTCCTTAGGCCCCTCCCCTGACCCTCCTCCCTTAGGCACCTCCCCTCTCCGTACCCGGCAGTAGGTCTCCACCAATCAAAGAGCTGTGTATATTATATATTTATACAGGGAGGAACAATGTTCCACACTGCCCACCAGGGATTATTTAGCTGTCTGTCTGTCTGACTGTCTGTTTGTCGTGCATAAATAAATATATAATACACACAGCTCTTTGATTGGTGGAGACCTTACAAACAGCTCTTTGATTGGTGGAGACCTACTGCCGGGTACGGAGAGGGGAGGTGCCTAAGGGAGGAGGGTAACGGGAGGGGCCTAAGGAAGGGGGGAGTCAGGTAAACAGCTCTTTGATTGGTGGAGACCTACTGCCGGGTCCGGAGAGGGGAGGTGCCTAAGGGAGGAGGGTCAGGGGAGGGGCCTAAGGAAGGGGGGAGTCAGGAGAGGGGCCTGAGGGGGGGGGGTTCAGGGGAGGGGCCTGAGGGGGGGGGGGTCAGCGGAGGGGCCTGAGGGAGGGGGGGGAGTCAGGGGAGGGGCCTAAGGATATGGGGGGGGGTTGTCAAGGGAGGGGCCTAAGGGAAAGGGGGTCAGGGGAGGGGCCTAAGGGAGGGGGGGGAGGGGCCTAAGGGAGGGGGGGGGCGATAGTTAAGGGGGCTGTCTGCCTGGCTTCCTAAAGTCAAGTTATCTTTTATACATACAGGTAGGAACAACAGGTTCCACACTGCCCACCAGGGATTATTTGTCTGTCTGTCATGCACGAAGTTCCTACCTGCCCACTCCGAAGGAACGTGTTTTATGCACGACAGACAGACAGACAGTCAGACAGACAGACAAAAAATCCCTGGTGGGCAGTGTGGAACATTGTTCCTACCTGTAATTGTTCCTTCCTGTGTAATTGCTCATAATCAGAACTTCGCACACGGTGTCAAGCGATCCACTACTTGATTTGAAAATCATGCAGAATTGACCAATGATGAGATGAGTCATTCCCTGTCCATACATGGCAAATTGCAATAATTGCGAGCAAGGTGGGAATAATTCACTCTCTGAGTAATCATCCACTTCTATGACACCTCATTGGTGTGCATATATCTCTAAGGAACGGGGGTTGCAACCGCGAGACAACGCTCAAATATGGCAGTCATCCCAAGATCAGCATGGACGAACGTTGCCTACCCTCTGAATAGTTAATCCACTATGGCACAGGTTCAGTAAGTTTTCCTGGATAAAAAAATGCATAATAGAGGTGTGGCTACTTAAAAAACGTAACCCATTGTTTCAACTGCCACGCCAGAGGTGCCATGGAAACAGCAACCACTAAATTGTAAGTTTAGTACGTTTACCATTACACTCCAATAGCTGCCTTTATTTCTCAAATTGAAATGGTAAAACATATTACTGTATTCCTCATGTAACAAGTAGTTATCAGCTTCTTTTCATATTGTTGTCATGATTGAAAAACAAACAACCTAACGACCATAATGTTGACAAATAAATCCCATTTATAAACATTGTGGCACAGCAACATTCATAAATACGAACTTTCAGTTATTGTTATTATTTTCAAAATATGATATAATTTGCACTCTTGATTTTGAAGCTTTCGTGACTGCAGGAATCCATACTCTTTGTTTTTTTCGGTAAAGTCATGTACTACGTGATTCTTTCGGTAAAGTCACGTACCTACGTGACTTTACCGAAAGAACCAAAGAGTATAATTTGCACTCTTCATTTTACTATAAATATATTTGTATTCTTTTTTCATCCAGAAACATGGATGATTTGAAGAACAAGCTAATTAACTATGAATCCCCAAATCAAGGCATTCCTGCCAACATCTTGCTGCTGGGAAGGTCTGGCCATGGAAAGTCAAGCTTCATCAATACTTGTGAAACAGCATTAAGTGATCGAATTAGATCACGTGCAGTAACGGCTTCGAGTACGGGTTCAAGTACAACTCAACATGTAAGTATTGTAATAACTGTATAAGTAGTGATGTGTTATTTTGTTTGTTTACAATTAGACTCTTGTCATCAATAACATAAAATGCATATACTTTAATTTGAAGATATAATGTACAGTGAGGGAAAAAAGTATTTGATTCCCTGCTGATTTTGTACGTTTGCTCACTGACAAAGAAATGATCAGTATATAATTTTAATGGTAGGTTTATTTGAACAGTGGGAAACAGAATAACAACAACAAAATCCAGAAAAACGCTTGTCAAAGATGTTATAAATTGATTGGCATTTTAATGAGGGAAATAAGTACTTGTCCCCTCTGCAAAACATGATTTAGTACTTGGTGGCCAAACCCTTGTTGGCAATCACAGAGTTCAGACGTTTCTTGTAGTTGGCCACCAGGTTTGCACACATCTTAGGAGGGATTTTGTCCCACTCCTCTTTGCAGATCTTCTCCAAGTCATTAAGGTTTCGAGGCTAATGTTTGGCAACTCGAACCTTCAGCTCTCTCCACAGATTTTCTATGGGATTAAGGTCTGGAGACTGGCTAGGCCACTCCAGGACCTTAATGTGCTTCTTCTTGAGCCACTCCTTTGTTGCCTTGGCCATGTGTTTTGGGTCATTGTCATGCTGGAATACCCATCCACGACCAATTTTCAATGCCCTGGCTGAGGGAAGGAGGTTCTCACCCAAGATTTGACGGTACATGGCCCCGTCCATCGTCCCTTTGATGCATAATGTTTCCACCTCCATGTTTGACGGTGGGGATGGTGTTCTTGGGGTCATAGGCAGCATTCCTCCTCATCCAAACACGGCGAGTTGAGTTGATGCCAAAGAGCTCAATTTTGGTCTCATCTGACCACAACACTTTCACCCAGTTGTCCTCTGAATCATTCAGATGTTCATTGGCAAACTTCAGACGGGCATGTATATGTGTTTTCTTGAGCAGGGGGACCTTGCGGGCGCTGCAGGATTTCAGTCCTTCACGGCGTAGTGTGTTACCAACTGTTTTCTTGGTGACTTTGGTCCCAGCTGCCTTGAGATCATTGACAAGATCCTTTCGTGTAGTTCTGGGCTGATTCCTCACCGTTCTCATGATCATTACAGCTCCACGAGGTGAGATCTTGCATGGAGCCCCAGGCCGAGGAAGATTGACAGTTCTTTTGTGTTTCTTCCTTTTGCGAATAATCGCACCAACTGTTGTCACCTTCTCACCAAGCTGCTTGGCGATGGTCTTGTAGCCCATTCCAGCCTTGTGTAGGTCTACAATCTTGTCGCTAACATCCTTGGAGAGCTATTTGGTCTTGGCCATGGTGGAGAGTTTGGAATCTGATTGATTGATTGCTTCTGTGAACAGGTGTCTTTTATACAGGTAACACGATGAGATTAGGAACACTCCCTTTAAGAGTGTGCTCCTAATCTCAGCTCATTACCTGTATAAAAGACACCTGGGAGCCACAAATCGTTCTGATTGAGAGGGGGTCAAATACTTATTTCCCTCATTAAAATGCAAATCAATTTATAACATTTTGACATGCGTTTTTCTGGATTTTGTTGTTGTTATTCTGTCTCTCACTGTTCAAATAAACCTACCATTAAAATTATAGACTGTTTTTGTGTCAGTGGGAAAACGTACAAAATCAGCAGGGGATCAAATATTTTTTTCCCTCACTGTATGCTGTTATATTTTACACGCATCCAGCCGTTAATTCCATAAATTTGAATGTCATCAAAACGATTGAATACGCTATCCTCGGTTTTATGGCTATCATTAAAATGTTAGAGAATCTTTGTCGACAATAATTTTTACCAACACAATTAAAAAAAAAATATGGCAGACATGTCGAGGTTGAGATTGTTAAATGACACGTCAATTTGTGGTTATCTCCAACTTCTCTGGCCTATCGGGCATTGTCGCTTGCGAATTGAGAAGTGAACGTTTGTGCATGGAACGGATGTGTGGCAATTGTGATTTGTTTGGGTCTCCAAGGCTCAGGCAAATAAACTGCAAGCCGTTGCAAGAAAAAAAGTTTTTCTACGCTAATACAAGGTGCGGGATACTAAGGATGTTGTAACTCCAACATTGGGCGGTATATGTTCTCCCCATTTCACGTGCCTCAGTGCCACTAAAGCGTGTAGGATATCTGGCCTGTACTCCCATCACTAGTCACCTAACCCGTTAACCCATACAGTTTACCCCGTTATTCTTGCACAGGAAAATTGAGTGTTCAGGTCCATCTTGCATAGAGCCGTTTCAATACGGGCAAACTATTTTTGTCTCTTTGTTTGTGTTTCTCCCTTGCGATGGGATTTTGTAGGATGAACGTTGACATTTATAAGGGCACGGGTTGACCAATAAGGTCTGAATTGATCTGCAATAAGGTAGGCACTGATAAGGGGTTAAGATGTATGAGTCACAGACTACAGTACTGTGTATATTGGACTGAAGAGTAAAATATAATGTCTAACTAAGTCTTCACAGCCGTTGGCTGCTGTCTGCTGTGATGGAGTATTTCACACTGGTTTTTGCATTGAGGACACTTACATAGGTTTTCCAAAGGGATCCACCACGTGTGATCACTTGCAGGGAATGTTAATCTTTGAGACCATTGGGAGCTAATGGCAGGTCACTTTTTGGGAGATTATGCAGAGATTATTGAGCTGAAAAAAGTTCATTGGGTATTAAAAAGGCAAAACTTCTCAAACTTGATGGACTGATATCAAAACTAACATTTGCAATTTGGGGTTCTTCTCTGAAAGACCTCTCTGCACACCTGCAAACCTGTTGCTGGGAGGTCAGAGATTAGATCATCGTTCTTTTCCTCAGGGATGGTGTTGTGCTGCAAATTTTTTTTATGAATTAAACTCTTTTTTGTGGTCATGAGTTGCAAACGGCAGTTTCGATATCCTCAGCAACTGGCAAACACCGCTCATCTTTGCAGTGCTGCCCAGCTCTCCGAACCTATATATGAAGGCTGCAATGAAGCCTTCACGTTCTCTGACGTGGGGTGTTGTTAATGGAGTGAGGTGAGCCTGTCCACTTTCTCCCAGTTAGCCGAAACACGTTCAACATCAGCCGCGGTCAGGGGTCTCTAGGGGTGTGTCTGGACTCCATAACCAAAGCAGTAATAGCAGCTGCAAGAGCCACGGTCCAGAATTCCCCTCGGCATCAGGCCAGGGAGGAACGATGCCAACCTCCATCCGCAAGAGATCATGAAATTGTCACTTGCAATCTTCATCAACAACCTGAGACCATCTTCTTGGTTCTTTCGGTAAAGTCACGTAGAAGGGAAATAATAAAATAATAAAAATAAAACATAATAAAATACAATTCTCACGACGTTTCGGCCACAACGCAAGCAGCCGTCCTCAGGTGAAGAAAATTCAGACGCTGTGTTTCCGACAGCCCTGTTCTTTACCTGAGGACGGCTGCTTGCATTGTAGCTGAAACGTCGTGAGAATTGTATTGTATTTTATTTTATTTTTATTTCCCTTCTACGTGACTTTACTGAAAAAACCAAGAAGATTAATCCCTGCAGTCACGAAAGCTTTAAATCGAAACCTGAGACCAGGCTCTTGTGGGTTCGAAATGGAGTCGAGAGTTGATGCCCGCAACCGCAGTGGAAGAATGACCCCCGCATCTTACAAATGACAATCTGATGGTCAGTTTAGCTCCACCGTAAGCCCGCATGTGCTAGTCCAGCAGATGTACTTGGACCTGGTATGTATCCATGATGTTGTGTGGATGCGCTAATGCCATCACAGCGTGTTGGTTATTATAAGGCCATGAACAACACAGAAGACCAGCAGCCTTGTACCATTGTTATTGAGCTAATCTATACTCTTAGTTCTTTCTGTAAAGTCACGTAGGTAAAAATGAAATGAAAAACGTCGTGATTTTTTTTAAATTAATTTAAATTTCATTTTTTACCTACGTGACTTTACCGAAAGAACTAAGAGTATGAATCCTTGCAGTCATGAAAGCTTCAAATCTAGAATTGAGCTAATCTCCCAAATATTTTCCAATAACTCCAGCCAAGGTAGCTGCATTTTTACATCACAGGATGACCCTATTCTCAGGGTCCACTTTCGCGAGCACCTGGGACTGGAGGTCATAGAAGGCATCTGGCTCATTTGCCTTGCCTGTTTCCCTCCACGATATTCTTTGGGTCTTTCGGTAAAGTCACGTAGATAAGTTGAAAGAAAATAACAAAAAACTATGACGTTTTGATCACGACACGAGCGATCGTCATCAGGAGGAAAAAAGGAGCAAAGCTGCTGAGGCAGACTGTTTTAAACGTTTCAAATGGGTGTAGCCCAAGGATCATAAACAATGTGGGCCAGGCTAGTGATGTTAATGTGAGAAATTAGACTGTTAATGTAAGATCAGAGGACGATGTCCATGACGGAGGGCGAAGAGGTGGCTATGTTAATGTGAGAGATTAGCATGTTAATATAAATTCACAGAGCCGCTGCTGCATCAGCGCGTGAGGTGGCTGCATTAGTGTGAGAAATTTAACCTGTTAATTTAAAATAAGAGAGCCGAAAATAACAACTAACATCGGAATGTAGGGTGGAAACATCACAGCCAGTTATGACTTAAACTGGTTAATAACGTCCTTCCAATGATTGCTCAGTTTGTACTCATCTTCTCGGTTGAAATTGTGTCTGTGTCTATAAATATGGATGGCTTCATGAACGAATCTTTGTTGATAGCCAGTGGGTTTGCAAAGTACCTTTGACCTAATCCAAACACCTCTATTATTGATACCTTCGTCTTGGAGAAATCAATTTAATGTGTGGCCACAGCGTTAAAACAATGATCGGCCATGGCCGAGGTATTGGTCCTACCGTGTTTCAGATCTGCCTTATGTTCACGAACACGGTCTTAGACATGTCGCCTAGTTTCCCCAATGTAACTACTGCTGCAGACACAGCTTAGTTTGTAGACGCCATCTCATCAATCACTCTTCCCCATAATTTCGTTGCTGTCCACGTTTACGGTGACGTTCAGACCGCAGTCCACTCACTGACATTGACTATATATCTTGTATTCTCTGCAAGGAATGGATTTTTTGCTCCGTTGCAAGCTTCTGACCACCACACTCCCATTGACATATTTCGTTGCTTCCTCTTAGTACCTTTCACGCGACGGTCAATGGTATAGAGTATAGCATATTGTACAATAATAAATAGTATTAAAATGTAATGGCTAATACAATGTATAAGGTAATATATAGTATCGTAATTGTATAGTGAATATACAGCAGTGTGGTATACAGTTGGGTGGGTAGAATAATACATAGTGTAATATTACAATGTATAGTCTATAAGCATATTAGTTGCTGCGACGCCATATTATTAACATTCCTTCCCTTTATTAATTCTAACCTTACTCCCTCCCTTTGATTCTGCTAATCCTGCATAATACATGGGCATAATGACTTTAAACCCCACGCCAAACCTCCTACGCATTTCACAAGTAGTACTAATCGCACATCTGCATTTCCCATAAATATGCTAAATTCATATTCTTAGGTTGTTTCGGTAAAGTCACATAGGTAAAAAATTAAAATTAAAATTAATAAAAGTAAAAATAAAAATCACGACGTTTCGGAGGCAACACAAGCTTCCGTCTTCAGGTGGAACCGTCACAGCCCGACAGCTGTATCAAGTAAATGAGAGATTACAAGAGATACCACTCCGTATATATAATGGTTGAGGGGGGGGGGGGGGAGCCAGGAACGGCTCACTTTTCATTATTATGGTAAGGTGCAGCTTGAGACTACGAATAGACTACATAACAAATGACTGAGCCTTTATTATGGAGAGGTTCGGTTTGTGACTACGCCTAGCCTACATAACAAAATGCTGCAAATGAGACCGAGCCTCTGCCATGTAGATGGTAAAAGCACAAAAGCAGGTCAGGAAGAAACAGCCTCCTGCTATGTTGTTTGGTGGGTAACACTTATAGCAGGAAACCAGTGTGTGAAAAAAGAAGCTAAACCTGGTAAAACAAAACTGGCTGTCTATCAGTAACCTGTAATAGTTCTCTGTCAAATAAGATGGTCCAAATAAGTGTAGTTAAATATTTTTTGCATGGTTAATCACATCTTTAAATGATTACTCAGTTTGTAACCATCATCACGGTTGAAATTATGTCTGTGTTTGTATATTTGTATGGCTTCGTGTACAAACCTTTGATGGTAGCCAGGAGGTTTGTAGAGCACCTTGGTCTCGGAAAAGACAATTTCATGAGAGCCCACAGAGTTGTAGCAATGATCGGCCGTTGCAAATACCAGATCATCGGCATACATAACGTGGTTGAGCAATAGGGAGCCATCCGTTGAACGCACCCGGGCATCAATCAGCCTCCCATTGTATCTGTACCAAATGTAAATTACTCCTTTACAGCAAGTGAAGGCTTCACGAACTATGTGGTCAAAATAGATGGTAAATAGTGTGGGAGCCAGAGGACATCCCTGTCGCACCCCAAGGTGTACAGGCAATGGCTCTGACTCCCGGCCACGTAGTTTTACCCGGGCCCGCTCACCATCATCTTAATAGCTCTCCAAATCACTTTTTCCACCTCAATTTCCTGGCTCCCCTTCACCCCTCGGTCCCCTTCAAGCAAGCCTCCTCAACCCTAGGATCAATCCCTTCCTCCAGTCAAAATTATACATCTTATGTAAAATATAAATGCTTATGAAATCATCTCTCTCAACCAGGGCCGGATTATGATTTTGTAGGCCTCTGGGCTACAGGTACTGTGAGGCCCCCAGTAATATTTTCAAAAGGAAAACAAAGTTAAATAAAAATTAAATAATTTTACAAGGCTAACAACTAATACAATTCAGCATTCACAACTGACATAACTTTTCACCTAATCTTTGGAGGCCCTCCAGCTGGCGGAAGCCCCTGGGCTGCAGCCCCTAAAGCCCATGCCGTAATCTGGCCCTGCCCTCAACTGACAACCTCGCTTAACATCAGTTCCTCGCTTCTCACTTATTATCCAACTTGTAAAAAGCCAAACAAGATTTTTTTCGGCCCTCATCAACTCTATCGCTACCCATCAACTATTTTCAACTCTCAATAACCTTCTCCACTACTCTCCCGCTGCTCTATCATTCCTATATTCTGTCCCTTCCGTCATAGATTTTGCTTACTTGTTTTGCTCATGAAACCAACTTCATCCAATCCTCATTTCCTTCCCCTTCACCTACTGTGTCGTTGTTTGAATTGTTTTCCTGGCATGCACCTCAAACAAGTGAACTTTCTCGTATTTTAGTCCAACATTTGCTTCTGAAATCTGCTCCATAATTTTAAAAGCCTTTCCTAATCTCTGTCCACTGGACCCTATCCCCTCCTCCCTCATACCCCATCCCCTCCCTCTGATTCTCCCCTACCTTGTATCCCTCTTCAACTATTCGGTTTCCTCTGGTGCCTTCTCTATGAACTTCAAAGCTGTTATCATCTTTCCACACCTTAAAAATCGTATCTCGATACTTTTCACCCTGATAATTACTATCCTATTTCCCTTCTCATTTTATTTCTTAAACCTCTTAAATGCCTGGTTCACTCCTGCCTCACTCGGCACATTCCTTCTCACTCCCTATGCTCACGATTCCCAGCCGCGTTTCATTTCTTCCATTCTACTAAATCGGCCATACTCGCAGTACATAGCTATTTGTCAAACTCTGCTCACGCCGGCCATTCTTCTATCTCCTTTACCCATTTCTCTCTTACCCCAGTCTCGTCTGCCGTAATATTGGAGTCACCTATGACTGCTCTCTCTATCCGACCACATATATTCCCCTGCCCGTTTCTTCCACTTTCACCAGAACAACATTCGCAAAGTCCACCCCCTCATTTCTAATACCTCTATTTCACTCCCTCCTCTTCACTCGACTTGATTATTGCAACTCCCTCACGCTCGGTCGTTGCTCCTATGCATTTAAACCACTCCAACAAATCCAAAATTCCACTGCCAAGATCGCCAGCTACCACTCCCACACATCGCCTTTCCTCATCTAGCGATCCTGGCTTCCCATCTACTATCGTTGCCTTTTCAAATTACTCACTTTGGTTTTCAAATCTCTGCATGGTCTGACCCCAACGGATCTTGCTTCCCTCGTTTTGTTGATTTGTTTGCTATCACAGCTGCCTCTGTCTCTTCCCCCTCATCCCTGTGACTAATCACGATTCCGTTTTTTTCTCGCATCTTGCTCACGTACACTAGAACAAACAGCCCCTACAGCCAAGCAATCAGCCACAATCTCTATTTTTAAATCCTTTATATTAAGTTCGCTTGCTTGCGTGCTTGCGTCCTTGCTTGCTTACGACCGTGCAAACCTTTCGGTCGTTTTTTAACCCACTTCCCGTGATCCAATCGAGCTGACATTTTGCACACAAACTCGTTGTGCGAAACAATTAATGTTCGTGAAATTTTTTTTCCAAAATTTTACACTGTTTAGGGAAAACAATTAAATATTTAATTACCAATTGTTTAATACTGCAGACAATCATCTGACCCATAGGTGGCAGCCATCTCAAGCCAGAGGACGAGAGGACTCTAGCCGCCACGCATATAAAGGATTTAGAGTGAAAAACTTTGTTTTTACGGGTTATACTTATTAGTTCTCCCCTTAAAATACTCACTTATTTTTCCTTGCTTACCCAAACACATATTCCCCCCTCCCTTCCCCATCATTAACACCACCCGCTTTCCCAAACCATTCATCACATTCACTTATCTTTAATCATTCATTGTCATACTCATCATCGTTTATTTCACGCATCATCACCATCTTCCACGTAATTTACCGTCCTTCTCATCAACTCATCTCATTTCACCACTGTTTTGCTGTAAAAATTGCAATGTTTGGTTCAGCACCTTGGTAAAAGCGTTTAAAAAAATTGAAATATGAAGAGATGAAGGCCAGCATTGCATACAAGAGGGTGGGTGGTCAGCGCTACTCGCAGCAGTCTTTGTCTCAGCAGTGTTTATGTTTACACAATGCACCAGGTTCTCATATAAGACATACTCAATAAAACAAAGCATTAAATATTCATATTGCGTGTGGTGTATCAAAAACTCTTTAAATATATTGTGAAAAAGTAAATATGCGTACTCCATTTAATTGCAAATTCAATATATTTATTTAGTTAACTGTTTCAAACCGGTAACCACATCTATTTTTGGTAATTTCATATTCCTGTTTCTGGAAAACGGGTTAAGGAAAACGAACTAGTAAACCTATTTTCTTTCATGTTCAACTTTCTGAATAAGACCATTATTCAAATCAGTAACAGCCAAACAGTTAGAATTATAATCTCAACAAAAATATTACATACTTTTTTACCAACTACATTAACCAGGGAATTCGACTGATTTTAAGCAGCTGTGGTTGAAGTTACCGTTTGTGTGAACCACTAGATCACGTTAAAAACAAAACAGCCGAAACGGCAACATGTCAATCACACTGTTAGTCTCAAATGCAATGTTTACTAATGCAATATATTATATTTGGACAGTGTATTTACATGTATGTGTATGTCTGCTTACATGCAAATATATTGCAGTTTCTAAAGTATCAACTTACATCGTTTCAAAACCAAAAAGAAACACCAATTAACGTAAATGTCATGGACACCATCGGATGGGAACCTCAAACATTCACATTTGAAATGTTTAACAAGATTCTCAATGGTCAGATTGAAGATAAACAAAGTGTGAGTATGTTGCACACCATTGTATCGTTGATTTGTATTCACAACAAAGTGTTTTTTCTTCCAGAATACTGTGTCTAGTAATTTAGTAGTATAGAGTAATAGTTTCTAGTAAAATAGTAGTATATAATACTATAGTAGTATATAGTAATACTAGCGGGAAGTATCCGGCGTTGCCCGGGCAAAAAAGACAGACACACATCGACTTACACACACTTACAGACATTGACCCACACACACAAACACATCGACTTACAACAACAACAACCGCCATTCGCCACTAAGTGGTGGTGACGTCACTATGACGCTTGTGCTAGGCCATGTGCACCTTGAAGGCACGTGAAGTGTCGAACGGAGCTGACCCAGGTGCCACGGGCTAACTGACCGAGACGACTGGCTGATGCACCACCTGTGCCCCCTACTGTGCCAACTTGCTGTGCTTTATCCACCTGGCGCTCCGCTCGTTGTTGTGAGCATCGCTCCTCTGCCCTCTGTTGTTATTGGAGGGTGACTGCCTCAAACTGCCCAGTAGCCTCATTTATGAGCCCCTTCCACAGAGGCCAATCTTGACACCGCTGGTACCAGTGATCAGTAAGTCCATACAGCTCCATGTCCTCCGGTACCACATCACACCATCTCTTCTCTAGCCCATGCCGCGCCCATTTAGCCCCCTTGATCCGGCTGAACAAAAGTTGTTTAGGCATGCGGTGGCTGGGCATGCGGGCTACATGACCCAGCCAACGCAGCCTTGCCTGCTGGAGGAGATCACCAAAGGGACTTTGTTCACATCTTTCAAGGATTTGTGAGCTCCTCACGTAATCCAGCCTGGTTAAACCCAGGATGGATCGTAAGCAGGCCAGCCTCAATGTTTCTAACTGGCGTAGATGTTCCATTAGGGGGGTCCACGTTTCGCAAGCATAGAGAAGGGGGGGAATGACCGTGGCCAAGAAGACCTGAAGCTTAGTGCGTAGCGACAGACCAGGTAGCTTCCACACAGCATTTCGCAACAGATGAAAATATAATGCCACTCGACTAATTCTGAGTGAGACCTCTTCTGTTAAACCGGAGCCGGTCATGAGTACAATGCCAAGGTATGGAAAACTCTCCACTCTCTACACAAATGCCCCATCACCAATTGGGAGTTGTGGGGGTGGAGTGTCCGATGGTACAAAATACCCAGGCAGGGGATTAGTTTTGGTGGGGCTGATGGTAAGGCCCCACCTCTTAGTGGCAAGCTCCAGGTTCAGCAGCAGCACCTCCAACTCCTCCTCTGAGTGAGCAGCAATTACCAGATCATCGGCATACATAACGTGGTTGAGCAATAGGGAGCCATCCGTTGAACGCACCCGGGCATCAATCAGCCTCCCATTGTATCTGTACCAAATGTAAATTACTCCTTTACAGCAAGTGAAGGCTTCACGAACTATGTGGTCAAAATAGATGGTAAATAATGTGGGAGCCAGAGGACATCCCTGTCGCACCCCAAGGTGTACAGGCAATGGCTCTGACTCCCGGCCACGTAGTTTTACCCGGGCCCGCTCACCATCATCTTAATAGCTCTCCAAATCACTTTTTCCACCTCAATTTCCTGGCTCCCCTTCACCCCTCGGTCCCCTTCAAGCAAGCCTCCTCAACCCTAGGATCAATCCCTTCCTCCAGTCAAAATTATACATCTTATGTAAAATATAAATGCTTATGAAATCATCTCCCTCAACCAGGGCCGGATTATGATTTTGTAGGCCTCTGGGCTATAGGTACGGTGAGGCCCCCAGTAATATTTTCAAAAGGAAAACAAAGTTAAATAAAAATTAAATAATTTTTACAAGGCTAACAACTAATAAAATTCAGCATTCACAACTGACATAACTTTTCACCTAATCTCTGGAAGCCCTCCAGCTGGCGGAAGCCCCTGGGCTGCAGCCCCTAAAGCCCATGCCGTAATCTGGCCCTGCCCTCAACTGACAACCTGGCTTAACATCAGTTCCTCGCTTCTCACTTATTATCCAACTTGTAAAAAGCCAAACAAGATTTTTTGCGGCCCTCATCAACTATATCGCTACCCATCAACTATTTTCAACTCTCAAAAACCTTCTCCACTACTCTCCCGCTGCTCTATCATTCCTATATTCTGTCCCTTCCGCCATAGATTTTGCTTACTTGTTTTGCTCATGAAACTAACTTAATCCAATCCTCATTTCCTTCCCCTTCACCTACTGTGTCGTTGTTTGAATTGTTTTCCTGGCATGCACCTCAAACAAGTGAACTTTCTCGTATTTTAGTCCAACATTTGCTTCTGAAATCTGCTCCATAATTTTAAAAGCCTTTCCTAATCTCTGTCCACTGGACCCTATCCCCTCCTCCCTCATACCCCATCCTCTCCCTCTGATTCTCCCCTACCTTGTATCCCTCTTCAACTATTCGGTTTCCTCTGGTGCTTTCTCTATGAACTTCAAAGCTGTTATCATCTTTCCACTCCTTAAAAATCGTATCTCCTTTTCACCCTGATAATTACTATCCTATTTCCCTTCTCATTTTATTTCTTAAACCTCTTAAATGCCTGGTTCACTCCTGCCTCACTCGGGACATTCCTTCTCACTCCCTATGCTCACGATTCCCAGCCGCGTTTCATTTCTTCCATTCTACTAAATCGGCCATACTCGCAGTACATAGCTATTTGTCAAACTCTGCTCACGGTATCTCGGATATTCCTCTTTCTTGATGTCAGTCCTCAGACTGACGTCATCAAACCACATAATTTATCCCCATCCCCGGTCACTGTCGTTGTCTCCCAATGTTCTGTCCTTTGTCCCATCCATTTTCTCTCGACATCTCTCCACTCAAATCCCTCCTCTCGTCATTCATTGCTGATAATAAACAGATTTTCCCCTACTTCCCCTTTTTCACTCCTGACCTAGCTTCTCACATTTCCAGATGATTGATCGCCATCCAATCTTGGATGTGAAAGCACTTTATTTCTATCAACCCTGCCAAAACCCACATCATTATTTCTCTATATTTCCCGTTCCATTCCTCCCTGGCAGACTATCTTCTCTCTTCTGTCTGTCTCGTCTGCCCTTGATTTTGGCAGCGCCATTTTTGACTCCTCTCTCTATCTGACCACATATCTGCCAATATCAGTTCCTGGCGCTTTCACCTGTGCAGCGTTCGCAAAGTTCACACCCCTGATCTCAAATATTTCTGCAACACTTCTAATTCGCTCCCCCATCTTAACTCGACTGAATTCATGCATCTCGCTCACGCTTTATCTTCCCTCTTATGCATTATACCCACTACAACAAATCCAAATTGCCTCTTCTTTCTACACTCTTTCATGCCCTCTACATTGACAATCCTGTATGTCCTCCTTCCTCTTTGTGCCCAATCACGATTCCTTTCTTCTTCACTTCTGGCCCCGTGATACTGGAGCAGACTGCACATACAAAGTCCTATTGTCTACCCAAACTCCCATTCTCCCTCCCTTCCCGCAACCTCAGCTTCATCCCTCTTCCCAACTTCCCTTCCCATTCATAACAGTCACTCATCATTATCCACTCGTCAGTTGCGTATTAATTTATGTCACGCATCACCATATTCATCATGTACTACCATCCTTCTCATCTACTCATCTCATCTCACCACTGTTATGTTGTACAAATTGATAAATCTTTGTTCAGCACTCTGGTTAAAGTTCTACATGAAAAAATAAGATAAAATTACAAATTAATAGTTTAGATTGTAAAGCTGCAATAGCAAATGAACATTAGAAAGAAAATGTTTCTAAGTTAAAAAACATTTGACCATAATAATTTTGATTTTTTTTTCGGTCAGTTTTCTGACAAGACAGAAATAACGTCTGAACCAAGGAACAAGGTGCATTGCGTGGCCTACGTTGCTGATATGGATCAATTTCAAAATATGGAATTAGATGACTTGGATAGTTTCAAGAGATTTGGGAGGTATGCACGTCAAAAAGAAAGTAAGATCTTCTCACTCATGTGTCCTGTGTTTGCCCACACACTTACAACTTATTATCGTGCTTTTGTACACAATTTATTTACCTCATTGGTACTGTTTCTTCATTATTAGGCCTAATATATACGATTATGTAACATTAACAATATGTATTATTCGATTATAAGTAATTGAAGATAAATAATAAATTAATATGTCAATACATAATAGTATACCCGCATTAGTCAGACTAATGCAATGTGTATATATATATAAAATCAATACACTATGAATAGGCAACGATAAAATATAATCTATATAACCTATGATAATGCCTGCCAGTTAGGTCAGGATGTGCTTAGAATAAAATAGATTGCAGATAATATTTATCTTTCATACGTTATTTTTTTTATATTAATCATGGCCCCATGGCGATTAAGTACAGGCTCACTTAGGACCAGTTTCTACCTACAGTGAGGGAAAAAGTATTTGATCCCCTGCTGATTTTGTACGTTTGCCCACTGACAAAGAAATGATCAGTCTATAATTTTAATGGTAGGTTTATTTTAACATTGAGAGACAGAATAACAACAAAATCCAGATAAACGCATGTCAAAAATGTTATAAATATATTAGCATTTTAATGAGGGAAATAAGTATTTGACCCCCTCTCAATCAGAAAGATTTCTGGCTCCTAGGTGTATTTTTATACAGGTAACGAGCCGAGATTAGGAGCACACTCTTAAAGGGAGTGCTCCTAATCTCAGCTAGTTACCTGTATAAATACACCTGTTCACAGAAGCAATCAATCAATCAATCAATCAGATTCCAAACTCTCTACCATGGCCAAGACCAAAGAGCTCTCCAAGGATGTCAGGGACAAGATTGTAGACTTACACAAGGCTGGAATGGGCTACAAGACCATCGCCAAGCAGCTTGGTGAGAAGGTAACAACAGTTGGTGCGATTATTCGCAAATGGAAGAAACACAAAATAACTGTCAATCTCCCTCGGCCTGGGATTCCATACAATATCTCACCTCGTGGAGTTGCAATGATCATGAGAACGGTGAGGAATCAGCCCAGAACTACACGGGAGGATCGTGTCAATGATCTCAAGGCAGCTGGGACTATAGTCACCAAGAAAACAGTTGGTAACACACTACGCCATGAAGGACTGAAATCCTGCAGCGCCCGCAAGGTCCCCTTGCTCAAGAAAGCACATATACATGCCCGTCTGAAGTTTGCCAATGAACATCTGAATGATTCAGAGGACAACTGGGTGAAAGTGTTGTGGTTAGATGAGACCAAAATGGAGCTCTTTGGCATCAACTCAACTCGCCGTGTTTGGAGGAGGAGGAATGCTGCCTATGACCCCAAGAACACCATCCCCACCGTCAAACATGGAGATGGAAACATTATGCTTTAGGGGTGTTTTTCTGCTAAGGGGACAGGACAACTTCACCGCATCAAAGGGACGATGGACGGGGCCATGTACCGTCAAATCATGGGTGAGAACCTCCTTCCCGCAGCCAGGGCATTGGAAATGGGTCGTGGATGGGTATTCCAGCATGGCAATTACCCAAAACACACGGCCAAGGCAACAAAGGAGTGGCTCAAGAAGAAGCACATTAAGGTCCTGGAGTGGCCTAGCCAGTCTCCAGACCTTAATCCCATAGAACATCTGTGGAGGGAGCTGAAGGTTCGAGTTGCCAAATGTCAGCCTCGAAACCTTAATGACTTAGAGAAGATCTGCAAAGAGGAGTGGGACAAAATCCCTCCTGAGATGTGTGCAAATTTGGTGGCCAACTACAAGAAACGTCTGACCTCTGTGATTGCCAACAAGGGTTTTGCCACCAAGTACTAAGTCATGTTTTGCAGAGGGGTAAAATACTTATTTCCCTCATTAAAATGCCAATCAATGTATAACATTTTTGACATGCGTTTTTCTGGATTTTGTTGTTGTTATTCTGTCTCTCACTGTTCAAATAAACCTACCATTAAAAGTATAGACTGATAATTTCTTTGTCAGTGGGCCAACGTACAAAATCAGCAGGGGATCAAATACGTTTTTCCCTCACTGTATACACAGACACAATTTCCACCGTGAAGATGGGTCCAAACCCAGCAATCATTGGAAGAATGTTATTAACCAGTTTAAGTCATAAATGGCTGTGATGTTCCCATCCTACCACCTTCCGAAGTTAGTTGTGCTTTACGCCCATCTCAAACTTGCGCTTTGACAGGATTCACACCAACACAGCCACTCCGTGCGCCGACTACCCCCCGGTTGTTGCTCTGCGATTTGCCATTAACATGCTAATCTCTCATTAACATGGAAATTTTCACCTGGCAGCCCTTCGAGTGGTGGATAACCAACCACCGTCAAGTTGGCTGCCCACAATTTTCATTAACATTGGCTGCTGACATTTGGGCTACGCCCATTTCAAGCCCTTATAAATAGTTTGCCTTTGGAAGCTAATTCCTTTGAACCTATCTACGTGACTTTACCGAAAGACTCAAAGAATGCACGTGTCTTTATACTGTTCACCTTTTGGCGTTCTCTGGTCTGACACTGTTGAGACTAGGCCCTAAAGAAGGCTGCTGTCTCTGGTGTAGACCAAACAGTTTCAAAGACAATGCATAAATTATCAGAGCATGTTTGTTTGCATGTTCACCACAAGTACGTGTGGTTAATGCAGACTTGATTTCTTGCAAAGGTTTCTAATTGGTGTTTGAACATCTTAATTCACCACGTATTTTATTGCCAGAGAAGATTAAAACCATTTCGGATTGACCTCGCCTGCTGATGATGAAAAATACATTTCAAGTGTTACTTTTAATACCCTGAAGCATAGTATCTCCAATGTACAAATGGATTATATTAACAATGATATATTTTTTTATTGCAGATATCAACACGTTCGTTATAATCACCAAAGTAGATGCGTGTTTACCTGAGGGAACATCAATTAGTGACATCTACAAAGTGAAGAACATTGAGACGAGGGTAATTATTATAAAAATCATATGCATGCGTCTCCTTTTCACTGTGTTGGCTTCGCGTTGCATTACAACCAATTCCAAAATAGTTATGGATATTGTGATTGTATTGGATCAAAGATTGCGGGGCATACTTGCATTGTAATGAGATAACATAAAAATAGCTTACATTTAAGTTGGTTTACATTTCCTCATCTAAAATATGCAGCCTTTGATTGATTGAATGACTGACGTAGATTGTCATGATATTCTTGAAGGGTTATAAACCTGATATATGTCACAAATATTAAAGGGTGTTTGAATAATAAATTCTGGAATTGTGATTCTAAATTTAGTGAAATTTGAACCAAGGCAACACAAAATTGTCTTCTAATGAAGGGTGCTGATCATAAATATGAAGTAAAAAAGAATAACATGAAATATACAATATTTTTACTTTGGACGCACACACACTTACTCTGCCACGTAAAAATAAAACGTGGCCACGTTTTCTTGGTTCTTTAGGTAAAGTCACGTAGAAGGGAAATAATAAAATAATAAAATAAAACATAATAAAACAATTCTCACGACGTTTCGGCCACAACGCAAGCAGCCGTCCTCAGGTGAAGAACAGGTCTGTCAGAAAGACAGCGTCTGAATGAATACCACCAGGCTTGGCAGCGTAAATTTAAGCTGGGTTGGAGGGGAAGAGCGCCTTGACAAAATAATTTGCATATCAAGAGGAATTTAGCATATTTATGGGAAATGCAGATATGGGATTAGTCACTACTTGTGGAATGCGTAGGAGGTGGGCGGGAGGTTTCAAAGTCATATTATGCCCGTGCATTATGCAGAATTAGCAGCATCAAGGGGAGGGAGTAGAGTTAGCATTAGTAAAGGGAAGGAATGTTAATAGTATGGAGTTGCAGTAACTAAACCACCACGTAAAAAAACTAAAGTATAAACTACATCAGTATCATCAGTATACTAAATATACTCTCCAATAAGCTGAGCTACTAACAGTAAGTCACACATTACAATTCTATATCGCAAAAAATATAATATGCCTCCAGCTAAACTTTTTTCTCTTACTTCACACGAGTATACCCCGTACTATATACTGCCATTGACAAACCCAACATTAAATTATATACTGTATTACTATACACCACCTTAGACTATACATTGTGATATACACTATGTATTATTCTACCCACCCTACTCTATACCACACTGCTGTATATTCACTATACAATTACGATACTATTCATTACCTTATACATTATGTTAAACATTACACTTTTATACTATTTATTATTATACAATCTGCTATACACTATACCATTGACCGTCGCGTGAAAGGTACTAAGAGGAAGCAACGAAATATGTCAATGGGAGAGTGGTGGTAAAAGACTTGCAGCGGAGCAAAAAATCCATTCCCTGCAGAGAATAAAAGATATATAGTCAATGCCAGTGAGTGGACTGCGGTCTGAAAGTCACCGTAAACGTGAACACAATCAGTTAAAATCCGAAATGGTTTATTACGTTCTTCCAATGATTGCTGAGCCAGAATCCATCTTCTCGTTTGAAATTGTATCTGTGTTTGTATATGTGGATCGCCTCATGAACGAATCTCTCATGGTAGCCAGATGGCTTGCAGAGAACCTCTGTCTTGGAGAAGTCAATGTCATGTGAGCCCACTGAATTCTAACAGTGATCTGCCATGGCTGAGGTGTTTGTCCTACCGTGTTTCAGGTCTGCTTTATGTTCACGGATACGGTCTGAGACATGTCGTTTGGTTTCTCTAGTGTAACTGCTACCACAGAGGCAACTTAGTTTGTAGACGCCAGGGTACTGTATGTCTGGAACCACATCTCTTACAGATGGGACCAGATCACGGATTTAATGTACTGTGTTGAATCGGACCTGGATCTTGTGTTTAATCCGGATTTTGGAGATCTTTTTTGTGACCCCAGCAATGTAGGGTAAGGTGATGGTTTTGAAAGGCTCCTCAACAGGATCCTTCTTGATGGTTGGAGTAATGGCGTTGCGGATTGTGTAGTCGGAGTAACCATTAGCCTTAAGAGCTTCTCGTACGTGTTTGAGTTCACTGGCAATGTGTTCCTGGTCGGAGATGCATTGGGCTCTATGGTGTAGAGTCTTGATGAGGGAATTCTTCTGGGATGTATAGTGGTGGGAATCCGGTTTTAGGTAAGCATCCGTATGGGTGGCTTTCCTGTAGACAGAGTAGCTCATTGAACCATTAGGTCTCCTTTAAATTAGGACGTCCAAAAGGGGTAGCTTGCCATTTTTTTCGACTTCCATGGTGAATCTGATGGCTGGGTGTATGGAATTGATGTGGTCGAGGAATTGGTCTAGAGCAGGCCGGCCATGTGGCCAGATGACAAAAGTGTCATCTACGTACCTCTTCCATAAGGTCGGGCATAGAGTGGCAGTCTGGATGGCGTCAGTCTCAAATTTATCCATGAAAACGTTGGCTACAACTGAAGATAGGGGGGGGGGGGCCATTGGGGTGCCCTCAGTTTGTTTGTAGAAAGTTCAATTCCAGGTGAAGTATGTATTGGTTAGGCAGTGTCTCACCAGGGGGGGTACCTCAGTATTCAGTCCTTGATGAACCAAGTCTTCAAATGATTGCGATGGTGTCAGGCCCAGGAATTTTGGTGAATAAGGAAACCACATCAAAACTGACAAGCAGGTCGTCTGGGGACAGGGAAATTCCCTTGATTGTCGATACCAGGTCAGTAGAGTTTAATACCGCAGATGTGTTTTTTCCAGTGAAAGGCCGCTGGATTTCAGACAAAAAAACGAGCCAGTTTGTAGGTGGGGGAGTTGATAGTAGAGACAATGGGACGAAGGGGTGTATCTTCTTTATGTATCTTTGGCAAGCCATATAACCCTGCCAGCGTTCGCCGCTTTGAGGCCAGTGTGAAGAGTAGCACGGAGTCCAGGGAGTATCAATCATGACTGGGAATGTAGCGTCAAAGAAAACCTCCTCATGAACGTTTAATGACTTTATTATATTCTATGTCACTGTAGAACTTGTCATTCATATTTACTGTTGTTATTTTGTATCCCCATAGATAAACCGCTTTTGCATGTCCTTAGTCGTCAAACAAATCGTTTATGTATTCTTAAACTTAAGTTGACCCGGCAGCAACCGGCATGGGATAGGGAAAAGACAGCATCAGATATTCATTCCGCCTCCCCCCATTTTACCTTCCTCTTGAGTTGCTCATACCTCTTGTCCTTGTGTAGTGACTAACTCGGAGACGAGAAGAGTTGGAGGCACTTATTTTATTTAATGAGCACCCTTGGCACAATACACATCCTAGGCTGGAACACACTCTTCAGTCGCTCGCTTATACACAACTCTACATGGGTTGCTCGTCTATACATAACTCAAGCCGTCAAACACTGATGGCGCTGAACCGAGACAGCCAACTATCGTCTAGCAGCGCAATATCGAGTGAAGATGACAACAACAATGGCGACGAGATGACAGCGATGATGGCGACGATCTTCAACAGCACGACATGGATCCCACTCCATATGATAGCCCCGAGCTCTCTCTCATGGACCCCTTTTATGCTCCCAGTGTGGCCTCCCTCTGCCCCGGCCAGGCCTCCTCTCTAGAACCTACTAGCGGGTTCCCGGGCTTTCCCCACGTGCCCCTTCTGTAACCTTTCCCTCAGATATCCCCCCTGGTGTACCACGTGGCCTGCTGACGTCAGGGCTGCTGTAAGCCACAGATCCCCTTCCCCGCCAGCAGCCAGCGCTATGGTGCTACATTACTTATTCTATGTCAATACACTTGTAAAGCATGCTGTCAAAATCCTTTCGTGTGACATCACTACTCAAAATCGATATATCAGCTGGTTGGAAATTCATGGTAAGATTTAGTAGAAACAGAAGAAGTGCATTCAGAAAGTTGCTGTAGTTCAAGTAGTCTGTTTTCTAATGCCCTCGAATCACCCACCATCTCCTGCCCTTGCATCACATGGTCGGTCCCCCAATCCATCAAAAAGGTATTGATAGTGAAGGAGAGATTGTAGAAGCCAATGTAAGTTTTTGTTATAATTTATTCAGGGATACATCACTAGTTTATACTCAGCTTTGTGTCTCACCCTGTGTCATACTCTTCGCTGAAAGGGGGGCATTTGGACATTAGATCATAATGCAGTTGATGCATGTTAAATCTTTCCCATGGAACTACCTGTGACACTTCTGAAGCCATGCCCCACTGAGTCAAAATAATATATTTGAAGGTGGACATTGCAATGAAGGCTACCAATATATTAACGAGATTTCTCAAAATCAGGAAGCCCAGATGCCCCAAGATTGTTGAGTCATAGGGCGACCCTTATTTATTTTAGTTTTCCGGATGTAAAACTTAAGGGCTTGGATTGTTGTGAACATATCGGCCTTACAGAGAGCCACTGATGCCACAAGAAATCCTCATTCCCTGGGGGCAGATTTTAAATATATATCTTTTTTTAAGTTGAGGATCCAATAAAAGGTCATTGAGATGTATACATGGAAGGTGATGTCCATAAACTGCTGACTAGCAGGATGAATTGGGACAGGCAGATATACATATTGCAAGTTGATTCACACCATCCAATCCAATTCAATCCCTTATGGACTTGATTGGCATGGCACTCATCTCCATTCTGAATTTTGTTAATATGTCCACATCCAAATGTGAATGAAATTCTGCCAACTGTTTTTTTTGTTATGGCGTACATCCTCCTTCCCTGTTCACAAAACACGAGGTCATTTGAAACCGGACTACATGAACTACTCCAAATTTCTGAAGGCACTTATTCTGTCTCTACTGAATCTTAACATGAATTTCCAACCAGCTGATATATTGATTTTGAGTACTGATGTCATTCACAGTTTAATTCAGCATGTCAGTGGTGCAACATTTTGTTCGGGAAATATACCGAATCGCATCGTTACATTCGCCAGTACTGAAACTGTGACCAACGTTATTGAAGACATGGG